CAGTGGTCGGGTTCGAACCACGGACCTTCCGGTAAGTAAATTCGGGCTCCAACCATGGAGCCACCGGAGACCCTGTCCATTACTACAAGAACATGTGTGAATAACTTTTGTGACCAAAACAATCCACATTAAATATTATTTGCGTAAGCGAATTCTTGATCAGAAGTCCGGTCCAGTGCAGTGTTCTCTCCAAAGACGATCCAATAAGAAATGAACGAACCAAATCATATGAGAATCAAACAGGAGCTAGTGAAACCAACCTGAAAATAGACCAGTAGGTCATCAGCTCCCAGTCCGATAGCCAACACGACAGCCATGAGATTGAGTACGGGGAAGTGAGGGACACAGAGCACACGGCTATATAGCCCATAAGCAGCCAGGAGGGACCAGCCGATTCCTATGAGCGTTATAGTCGGGATCACCACTGTTCCAGTGCCCAGAGCCAGCAAGAACAATAGCGAGCCGAGACCGATCACCAGCCAGAACGTATCACGGAAAATCGTTTCCGAAACCAGTTCGTTGTAGGCATGAAGATACATGCCCTGTAGAGTAATGGGATGGGTAGGGGGTTAGAATGAGCCAGCCATCTAGGGAGATACTGGACAGTGAATCTATGTGAAATCGTACTAATGGTGATACCCTCTGTCGGAGTGATATATCACAGAATAATAAGCAGTCGCTCGATATATATGTTTGAAATGTAAATGAATATGTTAGAATAATGAATATCATACTACTAGCTTCCGTATTTGGTCAATGTGCTGCTCCCATTAAAGCTGTAAGAGTGCAAAACAAGACCAAGAATCTGAGACCCGTACTAATTTTCTTGTCAGTGTTCTGACATGAGTGTCTTTTCATGGAACTCGGTTACCCATCTGACCCGAGAACTTACCGACCTACCCACACTTTTTCTATATTACACAGAATAGATTTGGAGGTCTGTTACGTCGACCTTGACACAATAACGTCACTGGGTACACGCGGCATTCTATTGAGAAAGAGTCAATCAGTTCAGAACCCATCGCCTGCTGACTGAACCACCGCTGTTTCCCCACGACCGCTTAATCCTCACGAGCGGCTGACGTAGTCAGCCCCCTTGCTCACATCATTACTACCGAGATGAAGCGTAACTCTTAGACGCGCCCAGAGAAACCAGATTTGCTCGATGTGTCTTTTTATGGAAATATGAAACCATATTGTATTATACAAGCGAAAACTAAAAAATTGAACTCAACCTCCCTCGAGTGCAGTTCCTTGCGCGAGTCAGTTTATCAGTAGTAAGAAGTTGCTTCCCCAACTTCAAGTTGCCACCTTGAAGTGGTGATGGGGCTTCTGAGCTGCAATGATCCTGCGGACTACACTGGCTGTAATTTTGTTCAACAAGGTGGAGCCATGCCACGAAGCCCGAGGAGAGCAGGCAGACCAAGAGCAGCTAAGCCCCGTACTACGAGTCGGTGTAGAGATGAAGTTGTACTGTCATCTGCGATTGGAGTGTGAAGGTAGTGAGGTGTTTCCCCCAGGCCTATATTCATGGGAGCAGCGATGCTATCTTAACCCGATGAAGGACGGTCATAAAATCCTCAAACTCCGATCGCCTAGCGGTTGACCGTGACTGCCAGCGCATTATCCGATATGGCCGATATACTTTTAAAACCAAAAAGTCTGGTGGTGCTCAATAGAAACTTGCTGCGCGCAGCCGCGTTAGTAGTCAAACAGTAATTCCTAACGCCCTGCACCCCCAAGTTAGACCAGCCCCCTTTGGACGAGCAGGTGAGACCAAAAGTCATCGGCTCCGGGCAGGGTTCCTAAGCAAAACCCTACTACTCACTGCCTTTTAGGCCAGACTTTTAAATCCACCAAGGCTCAAGGTGGGGTACATAAACTGAACCCTCTGCCCTGGGATGGACAACCGGAAACTATCATTTACTTGCACAGTTTTTTTTGTCCACCGACGTCCTCTTCCCAAACCCTTCCCGCCATATGAGCAAACGATGCTGGGTCATTTAACTGTCAGGCATCCGACCAATGTGCCTCATACGTTTCGCTGCCGATTAGTAGTAAACATAGTAACATTTCGCTTAATCCACCGCACGGTTTGTAAACTGAAAAACTGAACTGAACTGAGAACATTTGCTCACAGATTCGGCTCTTTTTGGATCTAAAGCCATCCTAATCTAAATACATCAACATCACGGTCTGATATGCGCTTCACACATGCAAAGTGTAGAGGGCTGCTGCAAGACTGGATGGGGCCGAATACTAACCTCACGCTTGTGGATGAGCCGATTTAGTTAAGAGACAATCTGTCTACCTGAACAGCTTTATCAGTACCGGTGGTCTAGGCCAAAGCAGTTTTTGTGAGCCTGCATCACCTGTGGCACAGGCGTGAAATCAAGGATCGAATTTACAGTGTTGTGGTACGCAGCAAAATATGAAAGTAATTACCAGCAAACTCATTTCCGTCTCCCTGGATTAGGATCCCGAAATGGGATAAATGAATGGTTGGAGACATGGTTGTAAGACATAGACCAATGGCGCGCATGTATCAAAATAAGTAAAGCTTCCTTTTCCGATCTCCTTAGTCAAAATTTCACTGAATTGTTTCTACTTACACATTAATTATATCAGCTGCCACCTCAAGTGTGTAGCCATCTACCGCTACCCCCCGTCCAGATGATCGGTGAACGAAAATATGGCAGCCACAACGACTGTACAACAATTTCACGATTTTTCAAAGCTGAAGACGGTGATGGCAATGGTGATTTACTTGTCTCACGTTTCTGACAGCCATGAGTGTAACTGTAGATTTCGAGTCAATGTTACCACATATGGAAGTTTCGTTATCTGCAGGGCGAGGTGCAGAAGTAGGGTGGGCCATTCGACCGTTCACGTGGTTGATCGATGAGTTTTGTTCATTCTGCTAATGCCCACTAATCAGCTGTGATGTTCTCACTTATGAAACGTGACCTGTGTGCTATTGTGCTGGATGTCTGTATAGCTTTGGCTAACTCAGCACACAGACTGTTGTCAGTCACTTAGCCTTATCATGGGAGTTCAACAAACAACAAATTTCGTCACAGGGAGAAGAACTTAACGTGAAATGGCTGCAGCGATCCGCAGCCATTTCGCCTTGTTAAAATCAGAAGTTGAGGTTTTATAATACTTTCTGTTCAGCAGTGCTTAATGCGACAATGAGGAACTATGAACCAGAAAAGCGAGAAGTTAAATGATAATGAATGTGATCAGTGCACGATGAAACACCGATTCAAACGACTGGAAGACTAATTGACGGCTCTATCTTCAGCGCGTACCTAACAACGACAACCACTTCTACAACACTGAGCACTTGCACCCACAAATAATCGTCTATTACGAACATAAGCTAGCGCTTTCAATACACTACCTCTTTAAGGTCAGTAAAAGGAGGACTGTAACAGCTGAGACCACTGAGTGTCAGCAGAGTAGCCCCAGGATGGAATCCTCTGAGAAGAGGATACTCTCCTGTAGAATCCACACAAGCTTTCTCCATCCACCATGACCTGGGTTGCGATCCCCCTTTGCCGACATCCGATGAACCTCTAGGTGAGGTTCTCTTGTGATGGGCTACCCCAGTGGATTATATACATGATCTATTACTGGCACACAAACTGACAACAAAAGGGAAGAGCAAAGGGTCAGGTCCTTAGCAAGCAGCGATAGGAGATGAGGAAACGCAGATTCACCCTCGGTATCCTCCAAGAGCAGTGGTAATTCGATCTTAAAGAATGTAAGACGTACTTGAATGTATACTGGGACAGAGAGGTCGGAAGTCAGGTTTCCGCTTCGGTACGCTGCTTCTAGGGCCAAAAACAGTGACAGACTGTCAGCTCGTCGTATTGGAAGCTGGAGCAAAGTGGTTCGCCACATCCAATCGGCCGTATCTGGTAAACTGGTGGCAAGAATCAGTGGAATTAGCGGGGACGCAAACAATTAGCCGGGGTGACCAGTGGACAAAGTAAAGTAGGATCGGAACCGTAAGTATCCCAACAAGCGCGCCTGAGTGTATTGTTCCGAAAGGCCGGTAGACATGATCTTAAAAGCTGATCAATTTCTACCAGTTCGCTGTCCCGAATCTGAAAGAGAATGAAATGCTAATAGATTCACCAGAGCGCGAAGGTTTCTGTAGTTGTTAAAAAGAGCAATCTTGGAGGGTCATGAAGGTATCTTTTAGGTATCGGAGCTTTTAAGATGAGCTCGAAAACAACCAGGTTTGCAAGCACCAGGATAGCTATACATCCGGAGAACGGGCCGCAAGGAGAAAAGGATTCACCTGGAGTTCATCCGTTTTTAACGAATGAAACAGACCAAACGAGATAATTCACGGTCATCATCATCATCATCATCACCATAGACGACATCTATGTTGACGCTGATACTTCCCTGCCGTATAACCATGCAGTTAATTTAATTAGATTTAAAGCCTTAACGTGAGAAAAATAAAGAGGGGATGACTACGAACAGAGTTGCTGGATCTTTCACACCAATTTATTGATGTCCCAATAGGATAATTGCTGTCCAAAATTGTCAGGCGCATAAAGAACTGCAAAGAATGGACGTCCTGTTAGCTTAGTGAGGGAACGGCTCGTGCGACGTTCTGCAGACGTGTGTTCTGTCTCCGAAAAATGCATGTAAAACTCAAACTCGGCCATCCTCAAACCGCTTAGAATCAGCCTGTCTCACACGCCGTGCATCAATTCACCTTCAGTTAAGGCGAAGCCTCTACTAGAACAGAACAAAGACTGTGAACGGGGCTCGAAACGCATGTATTGCTGTTTGAATCAACTGACTGATCAATCGGTCGAGATAAAAAAACGTTCAATTGTAACACATCCGAAGGAAGCACGAAGGCTGGGATACTGCCAGACTGCCCAAGCATAGAAAGAAGTCGAGACGCAGAGGTCGGATTCGAACCACGGACCTTCCGGTCAGTAAATTCGGGCTCTAACCACTTGAGCCATCTCGCTCCTCAGAAGTGGACTCAGTTACAAGAAAATCAGTCGAGATAGCTCAATGTTTATACTCCATAAGTCAGGTCCAACCTCGACATCTCAATTGTTCCTGTCTAGACTTGAGTAACCTGTGTTTCTTTTGGGCAGCATGGCAGCTAGACACAAAAATGATGTTACAGCTGAACGATACGATATACGAAACGATCAATCGGTCAGCTTCTAGAGCCAAGTTCGGAAACCTACCTTACCGAGGTATATTCAAGCCACTGTTCGCTAATTTGACCCCAAAACATGACTCGGATTCTCGCCCCACAACCAAGACCCGAAACTGTTGGAGCCTAAAAAGACACCGATGACTACTTACTATCGGTGAGGTTTATATGCACAGAAGACCTCGACATGCGCACTTAGNATGTTTATACGCACAGAAGACCTCGACATGCGCACTTAGCTTGGCTTAGGGGACAAAAATCGACCCGAATGGTTCACGTATTGAGTGTTTGCGTCCACCTTCTTAGATCTTCACTGATTGTAATCAGTATGCGAAGAGGAAATTTCAACACTCCGTAGTTTGAATCAATGAATTGCCGGACAGCTGAGCCACAGAACTTGACCGTACTCAAAATGTAACTATGGGGCCATGAGCAAGTTCACTTAACTCGTTAAACTCAGGATGGTCAGTAAGTGAAATACGCCACGGCCGTACAAATACCAGGTAAACACGTAAATAGTGAGTATGATGGGAAGCACGAGATTTCACAAGGATGTCAAAAAGCGTACCTGAGAACAGGATGACCGCCCGAGCAATGCAGCAACCATGTTCGGTACGGACCAGGCGGAACAACAATGAGGCTGATTACTGGTTGTGTTGCGTACCGGTCTTTGGTGCACGGAGTGTATACATTCTTGCTTGAAAATGTCTAGTTCGTAAATGCGTGACTGAAATGAACATAAACTCTCGAACGCCCCAGGTTTGGTGAGAAAGTTTAACGGGACTTCGCCAACGTCTATATATGGAGCACTCAGGCTCGGGTTTTGATCCAATGACATCACCAATCGGCCGTAACCTTCATAGGTTGTCCACAAATCGTCTGCTTCAATGACAGATGCTGTACGGATCACAGAAAAGATAAACAGAGAATCGGTCCCTCTATTATCGTCACAACAGGCAAGTACTGTAACCCATACTCAGAAGGAAATATTGCCAGAAAGAGAGTTTAGATTTGTTCGACAGAGAAATTCCGCCAAAGTAAGAACACAGTTTGCTTGGGGACAATCTTACTTCAACCTAAGAAAAGCAAAAAGGACCAACTAGAGAGCAACAAGCACTCTTCATTGGGCAGTGAACAAAGCTGCAACTCAATAATGTTGAGTTGCGGATGATTGCGGAATTTGTAGAATTCACCATCACATCATTCTTGTCTGTCCTGGTGCAGACATTATCCAACGGGTTTCATGCGTCTGCGTCGCTAACTGACTAGGAAGTCCTGATAGGCGGGCCAACGAAGGGACACAACGAAGGCATGTCCGATGCGTCGGGCTCGCCTTTCACATTACTCAACCGTGAACATGTTCACCTGTTCAGAAGTGAAAAATCAGATGCGTGCGCTGGTGGAGTGGTGGTAACACGCTCGCCTAGCACTTCAGATGTGCGGAGTTCATCCCCCGGAACGGACAAGGATGTACACTGCTGATGAGCTCTAGTAAGAGCGAAACTCGAGTCCAGTGCCTATACCGTTTGGTACGAAGCCACCAGAATGACTGCGCCAAGACAGGAGGACGAGTGTTCAAACGAGAATGATGTACCCACTGTGGCACAGCGGCCGGTACTTGTTCGGACGTATCTGTACAGGTAGACTAGACAAAACTTGTCTGACATTTTACAATGGTCACTCTGTCGATAAATACACAAGTGATGGGAACGAATCACGACTAACGTCTACAATACCCCCCCCGAGCCTTCGGTGGTGAACGTTTGAAAGCTCAAACATCAAAAGTAGTGTCCGAAGCAAACATGGCAAAACCATTTCATGAAGGACACCTATTTAGAGAAGCTAACTGCCCCTAAGGGTCGAATAGTCTGTGATTCGGGCCCAACCCCGGCACCTTGACTGTCCCTCGTATTTCTTTCGGGTGACAGAACAGCTAGGCACCTAAAGCCCGTTAAAGCTGATCAATTATTTCATTACTACTATCACCATTCTATATGCAACTTCACCTATTACAACCATCTTCGTGTCCTACTGAGCTTCACTTCCGCAAAAGTGTACGGCTTCATTCTCAATAGCCAGCACATCATGGACTTGGCATTTAATGATCCGCGGCTGCTTTGCGATTTCTTACATTGACCAAACACCTGCTTCAACTCGGAACGACTGTCGTCTGAGAATCGGAGAGATCTCCTTCCCAGTTCCATTGCTCGCGGTGCTCCGCCCAGGGGGTGCTATACGTGCTACGAGTAGCGATGACTTGCCTCATCGATACGGTTGTTGTATACTACTTCAGAAGATTGGTGCGCATCGGCGTGATTGATACCATTGCGAATACTGCGGCTGACGAGTCTTCAAAACTCAGTAAGACTGTGTAATGCGTGCTACAAGTAGCGATAACTTGCCTCATCGATACGGTTTTTTCTACTACTTCAGAGGATTGGTGCGCATCGGCGTGATTGATGCAACTGCGAATACTCCGACTGACAAGTCTTCAAAACTCAGTAAGACTGTGTAATTTAGACATGCAGAAGCAACTGCAGGTCCTCGAGCACGAAGATTAAAGCACATCTCAGAAATAAAGGACAAAGGAAATCCGCCACTGAGTAACGCAGTATCCCTTGGGGAGTGTCTTTCGTCTCTAGGAGATTATTCAGTCCAGCTCAGTGGAATATTCATGGAAGGAGCCACGAAGCAATCAAAAGTGACCCTAAAAGAGGAGTGTCCCTTACAGGGGGGACACTTCCTCTAACAATAACGGTTCCCTAAAGGGGGTGCGATTTAATGTATTCGGTTCGGATCGCTTATAACGACAGAGTCACAATAGGTTACTCAGCCTGATTGTGAGCAAGTAGTACAAGGAGATCGAGGCTCACAGTGCTCTCCGAAACAAAGGTTTAGTTGTTCCTCTTGTGAACCGTAACCAGTAAAGCGCCCTTGATGCAATGGCAAAGTAGTGACCCGATCAGGCTGCTTTATGGACCAGTGCTGCATTTGTTGCTCAAAACCGCGGCGGTGCCGGCTTGTTAGCGATGATCCTGCAAGCCAAGGATAACTCCGAGTTTCAGCCAAAAGCGCCTTGAACTGTTGGACGTTAGCCGACCAATCCGTCTGAATGGCAACGAAATCCTGAGGAATAGAGCGCAGAAAATAGTGAGACAGCACGAGCAAGTGGTGAACGCCGGCTAATCGCAAGTGAAGGAATAACTATGAATGTCGTAAAGCAATTTGTTCGAATGGTAAGTTGTTGCATAAGCCTTTAGTTCCATGGAAACGCTGCATTTCCAGTGAGTGAGACCAGCCCTGAGTCTTATGCTGTCCCAAAAATGAGCAGATGTAAGCAGAATTTCGACCTTTCGGTCCGTATGCTTATGAAATAGTCCATGGCTCAGTGGACAAACTGAAACGTTATTTTACAGTTCACCTATACTCATCCAACAAATGTTACGAAGGCTATCCGATTGGACTGATGAAAATTGACCTCTTTAGAAAGGCAGTTTCGACTTGGAGAGGCAAAACCACTAGCAGAAGCTTCGTGGGACCAACTGAAATTGGCCTTCTCTGTGAACTGGCTCTTCTAGAGGTGGGTGATTATACTAGTTACTTCCGTTCAATGTAAACTTCAGCATTCCTTTAAACAACAGTGCACTCACCGCGGATGGGTCGCTCAGATCGGGCAAGTGGCAAGTGAACGCAGCCGTCACTGCCGACGTCACAAGGAAGACAAGGGAGCCAACGCCAAAGAAGACACGATATCGTACAATACATTGTGAAAACCTGAAGGGGAATGATTGGTTCGGCTAGTTAGGAGCTCGTTAAGGATGAGAAATGAGACATAACATGCTCAGAGCTGCTTTTAAGGAATAACTGGACATTCATCCGTCTATCAGTGCAAGAATTCTGTTCAAAATTGGATGAGTTGACTACCCGAGTGTATGTAGGATACCTGAGCTGTGGCAAACCAAGTCGATCTCTACACACAAATACGGGTCATCCGATAAACAGTTATGATCACACTTTTTCGCTGAATAAATCCTAGTCCCCCTAACCCAACTGCATGCTAGTGGCCGGAACTGACAACGTAACGGAAAGCAGAAAGGCTTGGGAACTTCCGTCGTGGTGCGTGTAATCAGGTTTTAGGCGACAACTAATATGGCTATACAGAACAGACGGAGGTTTCCTATGGATTGTGTTGGGGTCGTACAGCCCCAACGTATTTCGTTGGAAGCAATATCGGCAATCTCAAATAAAACTGAAGTAATGATATTTATTCAGCTATTAGCGTACAACAATAACAAGTCCGGTACAGCAGCTAAAGATTGAGTTTGGAGCGGTAGTGGTATGTCCGGAGCCCCTGGAAGGTCACATTAACGAAGCAATGACGTAGATGGTTTCACTCAAGTGAAATGTAGGATTTCCAATATCCGATATTACGAGATCAGTGGGGTAAACAGTGCGATAGACAAGGGATACCGCAGAAGTTTGGAGAACATGCAACATGCTGAGCACGGTCATTTGCTAAGGGGAGATGTCCAGACCGATCCATACACCGCGAACTGTCTTCATAAGAAGCCCTAATCTAAGAAATACTCTAGGGAAAATGTGCGTGTAGAGTGAATGCTCCGGGCCAACGAAATCCTCCAGTGACTGAGCAAAAAAATCTTACATCTACAGTGTTGGATTCCGTAATGAGTAAAATACTAAATGGAACCATGGAGGATCTATCAGTGGTCTGTCCAACTTGAGAAAGATGCAAGTGCCCTTGCATAGATCGATATCTTTCGTTGGACATTGACAATGCGTTCAGTTAACGATCCTTTCTCCTTGTGAAGTTGATGCCTACAGTGGGTTGAAAATGCAGTCCTCAAACATAAAACCGACCAATGGACTTCTACCATGAACTCCAACTAAACTCGTACGTTTGAGTAAATTGCAGATCCGTGCTATTGATTTTGCATCACGAAAACGCACACAGCTGTTCCCACGAGTAGGGTATTGGTTATTTAGTGTTATTTGGGAGTGTATGTCCATACCTCAAGCGGCTCAGCTGCAAGAAACAAACCACTACAAACCCACACAACCAACCAAAGTTGGCACACTTGCATCCCATAACCAAATGACTGTATGGATGCTTATTTTGGTTCACAAATAGGAAACGTTTGAAACAAGCTCTAAATTAGTTGTAGTATCTAATGTTCAACGTAAAGCTTGAATTTACATCTGACATCTCTGTCTGGATGTGGTGGCCAGATAAGTAACACGGTAACTATACACTGGGAAAAAGAACATGACAGAACGACAGTCTGGCAAAGACGTATTCTACAAGTCAAAATCAGAAAACAACAAGACAATTAAGACAACCTAAAAAGTTGCGCTGTTCAGAAAAACTCACATACCGTAATAAGAGGGATCTTGAGCCCGCGTCTGGAACGACTGTTTGGTCTTGTGCTGCGGGATGGCCGTTAGCAGAAAACGGGGACAGTACCATGCAGACGTCTGACTGCATGGTCAGTACACATCGGTAGTAATCCTAAACAGATCCACGTGTGGACTGAGTTCGAGCTGGCGAATCAGTGCAGTGGTTAGTAATCACTTCCATGGGCCAGAGACTCCAACAAGAACGAAGAAACTCGTGTTACCAATGAAAAAGGATTCTGGCCTCCTAAAGGCATCCAGCTGTAAATTATGAGGCATAAGTAATAATGACGGAGTAAGAGTGCTGGAAATATAGAAGCCTAATAAGTTGCTTGAACCAACTGTCGTCTGAAGGTTCAAGTGATGACACCCCAAGCACAGATAACCATCGTAGTAAGGTCAACCTCTGTTTTATGCATGAATGGAAGCAGGAAGCGAGAGTGACACTGAGATTATTTCGAGAACGGGGAAAGCCTCAATTCATATCTGTGGTTTTTGTAAAACAGGAAACATATAACACACCTGTTCATAAGAAGAAACATTCTCAATGACCATAAATCATGTTACAAACACTATTTCTTACACTATATTTCACAGGGAGAATAGTGAGGAGGCTGGCCTAAAAACACCCATTGTACGGTATTCACCGAATTCGAAATGCCATACATCTCTTAATTAATGGACACCATTGTTTCTCTACCGATCTCTACCGAACTCTAAACCAGACAACCCATGATTCCTCCCAACTTAACCTGGGCGGTTTCACAGACTGCATAAGACGTACTCATCGATTCATATTTTCCGTCTACAAGCCCACGTTTTCATTTTTGTTATTCAGGTTCGCACTAACATTCCGCATCGGGTGCCATATTCACTGCCTACAATAAGTTTGTGAGACGTTATCTCCCCCTCGGCATGATCACTGCACAACGTTTGTTCACAAACAATTCGAACGGTTGATCCAAGGAACAAAGACGATGATCTTGGAGTAACCTAAATGCAAAAGCCGAGTAAAGTTGGCTCAAATGGATTGTGGGTTACAGCTACTGTCACAACACAGCACCCTTACCAATGGGGTTAATGCGAAGAAACGGGTCTGACCGGCGAAGGATAAACCGAGGGAACGAAAGATGCGTGAAAAATTCTATGACCCCATAGAAGCCAGTCGATCAATTTATAAATTTATCAGCGATAAACCCTGTATCATGGACACATTGGTTGCAGCCGCTACAGTTCCGATCGCCGGAAAAATGGATAGTGTGGGACATACAACCAAGTCCTGGAGGCGACGGCATCCTCAGTTAGCTCGGGGATCGGATAGCTACACACTGAAGTCGACAGCTTCGATACAGGCGCGCCATTGGCTACGCGAATGGGTCATTTCTGTCACTTTCATTAACCATTGGTTAGTTGAGTCCCAGGGTCCCCATCCAGGAAGGCAGCAGTTGTCGACTCAACTCAATTTACTGGTTGGCGTTCTCATACTTCGTTTCTAGGTCATGCACTGTCCGTTTCTCGGTTGTTTCTATTTAGTGCAGGGCTGGGAAAAAAGAGCTCTGTGAGACAAGCGTTCTTCTGGTATGCGGAATACATGTCATAACCAGCGAGGATCACGAAGCGTGAGTAATTCATCTATCGCGGGAAAGTCCCTTCTCCCTAGGACCATCTGCCGTACCTCAGCATTACTAATCTGATATTCCCACCAGACCCGACCAATATTTCATAGGCATCGATGGTCAAACCCTGACAACTTTTGTGTCCTCTGCGCGTAGAGGCATGGCATCTGATATATAAAGCAGTATAGATCGCACTGCCGCAGTGTAAACTCTACCCTTGTTGCGAGAGTCCAGGAGATGAGAAGGAAAACAGAATAGAAGGGCGTAATGTAAGCTTTAATCGTCTAATAACGGTAGTGATTGAACTGAAAATGTAGTGAGAATGTAGTGAGTTAATGGTCTATGCAAAAGTATGGTTTATATAGTCATGACAGCCCTCCGTGGACAAACTGACGTCACACCGGCGCCATTGGTGTCAGGGGTTGGTAAAAGCTGCTCTGGACTTCCCGATTCGAGAAGTAACCTCATCTAAAGCCACTCCACCGGAACTAATACAATTATCCAGATAAACAAATTTATCTGCCACGTCGATTGGTTCGTCCGTAAGCATGACGTTTAAGTCTGATCCCACCCGGTCTTGTATTAGTGCTATACCCTTTGCAGGCATGAAATCCATGTCAAACGTGCGGCATAACTATCTAGGTTATTTAAAATGGTCGGCATTTTTGAAGGTTTTGGACCAAGGACCAGCTAGATTTTCACGAGTCTGTCTTTTCCGATAATCGATGAACCTAAGCAAAACGATCTCGGGGAGCACCTTAGATGCGATGTGTACCAGGTTGATTCCACGAAGGTTTCCGCATGATATTGTCGGGCTTTTTTGAAAACTGTGATGACTGCTGAAGAACGCCATACGGCGTCCATACGGTCCAAATCTTCCAAAGTATGGTCGTCAGATTGTTCACCTCGAAACTTTCTTTGAAGAGTGCAAAGTGCATACCATCCGGGCCAACTTCTTTGTCGCGTCGTAAAATTAACATCACCATCATCGACAGCATAACATCAGTGTTCAACAACGATGATTCGTTGACGTACAATCGTGATTTATTTTAAAGCCTTATTGTGAAGAAAAGAATAAAGATGGACAGAAAAGAGACTTAATGCTAGCTCATTCCGAGGTACCTACACCTCCAAATACTCATTCAGGCGATCTGGATAGAAACCGACAACAAGAACGCCACTGATATCGGTTGGCAGCCATATCTTGTAGTGTCTCCAACTGGGTGCAGTAGGGATCAAACGGTCCCCATCATTGCGGGCGAGTAGCACCGACAGCAACCAAATGTTTCGTAATCTCCATCATACCCCTGCCACGTCAAGGGTTAACCACCTCTCTGCTTGGGCCAATCTGAATCGGGCGTAGAAAACAGCACCCTCTTCGGTAAACGATGGTTCGGTATATGCAACACGTCCCAGCCAACGCGGCTTCTGATTCTGGACACATCATTCAATGGAAGTACCCGTTGCACAACTAAATAACCGCTTTCTAACTGCCTCATTAGAGATTCACCGACACCAACCCACACTAGCTATGGTAGACCGTACTGTGGGTTGACACATGTCTCGAGATTCCGTGGCATACCACTTTGACGCCATAGGTGTCTCAAATTAGCAAACGCGACCCAAGCCTTGCAGACCCATCTATTACGCTACAATCGGAGGTAATATAACCTCCAAGATAACCAAAATGCCCCACAAATCCGAGTGCCTCTCCCTGGATTGCAGATGGCGTGTTCAGTGACTGCATATCCAGGAGCGTGACCTTACACTTTGTGAGTGTTAAGTGTATAGCAAAGGACGAGATACCTTTGGTTAGTTTACCCAAAAACACCTGTGCCTTTCACTCTCTTCAAAGACATGAAGGATCTCATCTGCATATTCCAGATCAACAGGGTTTTCGTCCACTGTTATTGAACACCAGGTTTTGAAGACCTTCGTCCTATCATTTCAACGGTCACGAAATTAAATAAGAATGGAGAAAGTGTGCTCCCTAGACTACATTGCTTTGTGTACTGCACAGTACTGCATACGCTCACACGCCCGGAAGTCTGAGAAACCATGAACCTATTGCGTTCACAAACTTCAGGGGTATTCCTTGATAAGCAAGTGCGTTAAGGAGGACAGGTATGCGCTCTGGAAACTTAGGAATACTAAAATTGTGGGTCGTCTGTACGTATGGTGTTCTGTCACCTGACGCGATGCGAGTATTTGACCAAGGTAACCGTTACCTGGCCGGATTACCGCTTGCATCTCTCGAGTTAGTGTTTCGAGAGCCACCAGGCGGCGAAGCAAAAGTGACACCAAGTTTCATTACGACCGAGGTTGAAATGAACCCTTTTGTTTGCCGCACGCACTAAGAGCCCCCGTTTTGGAAATGGGAGGTTTCTCCGTTCTCCCCAGTTGTCTGGGGTAGCCTTCTCTTCCAAAAGGCAGGGGAAAAGATCAGACAGGTGCCGATTGACGACTTCACCCCCATCATTGGACAATGCGGATGGGAGGTTATCTGAATGAACCCTGTGGCGTTTGAGAAAACATACGCAGTAATAAACCTCCGAGGCCATAGGAAGTAGCACGTACACCGCATAGGGCTCTACATCAGTTATGAGCTCCAAATGAGTGGCGGCTGATGGCCACCATAATTGTTGTTCTGTCCGCCGTTCGAGACGTTCTACTTCACTCTAGATGGTTGCTCCATTCTGATCCTTAATAGTTTCACTCAAAGGTAATTTCAAGAACCGGTCGCACGCATCAACTGAAAAAATCTTCCGTCATTCCTGATTGGTTGCGATTTCTCCAGTCAGTGCTTGTCTAATTTATTTGTATATATCTGGAAGATGGGAACCGTGTGTCGAGTCAAAAAGGGTACTCACAGTGAATGTGACAAACACAAGTTTTAGCTCGACCCCTGTTGAAACATGGCTTCACTGATACTTCGGCATCTTACGGTGGCACACGAATCGTTGACCCGTGAGCATCAAGCGGGATTTTGACCAAGTCGAGGCTACGTCGACCACGAGTACCGCTGTCACTTTCAGAATGGCAGAAACCGCGAGGCGGATAACGTATGACTTGGTAGAAGGGTGTGAAAGAGATTACAAAGAGTTTGTGTTGTTGGTGCAGTACGCCTTTTATGATGGGGTCTCTGTGACCCCTACTACGCTTGGGTTGCAAGAAATGGCCGCTAATTGTGCCAGCTTTTTTCCAGATCGTCTGATTCAGCGTTTAAGGTATGGGCATCTCACAATGTCTGTGATAAGTATCTCTTCCTTTCACTCTTTAAATATATTAAGATAAACATTGGAGGTGTGCGCCAGTGCCGTCACGAAGAGACTGGACCTTACCGTGGTGTGACGGTTTGCTCAGCGATCCACTGAGCTATACTGGGGAGTGTGTCCGTGACACTCGCAGTCTCTCATACCAGGCTGGTCAATGGTTAGGGGTCTGACAAACACAGTCTCCTGGCCCTCCAGGTTGGGGGTTGGAACATGTGGCGACTTGTTCCGTAGAAATGGTAATGCATTTGCATTTCCCACCAAACACCGCTGCCTTGCGGTTGGGCTTTTGAGTCAAAGGCTTTGGTTGAGAACCCTAATCGTCCTCTTGTCTAGATGTGGGCGACTTGGCAGTATCCCAGCCCTCG